CTCGACTCCCACATCTGTCTCCTCCTCCAGAACAGTAGTTTATTTTGACTTAAATGTAGTTTGACTATGGTTGACCATTTTGATTATGTATTGTAATAACTACTTGAATTATGTATTGCAATGTATGGCCTTTGTTGAATTATTCTAGCTTTCCAAAATGCTTATCATTACTGCACTTTTTGCTTATGCCAAAAGGGGGAAAAGATGGAGATATAGATTTGCATAATTATGCTTAACAGGGGGAATAAAAGTGAAATACATAGAGGGAATATATATAAACTATTTTATTCCTCATCAATTTGTTCAATTTATACTTTTTGCAATTCATCGTGTTTGTCATAATCAAAAAGGGGAAAATTGTTGACCTATGGTTGACATCTCATTTTGATTATCAGTCTTGATGACCTATGGTTGAATTCTTATTTTGATTACCACAAACAAATTAGGTTTATTGCTAACAAATTGATTTCAAGTGTCCATAGTAATTATTGCACATGAATAAACTTGATGACACGAAGTTCGAGGCCAAGTAATTTGCATACAATGATCAATTTGAAAATAAAATCAATCAATCGAGGCTATGAAGAATGATATTGCAAAAGTCGCAAAAAGATGCCTCAACGTAAATCGAGACAAAAGTCAAAGTATGGTCAAGCAATGCATGTCAAGATGTTCAAAATAAAATACTTAGACTTTTCACGATCATATGTAAAGGTAAAACAATTCAATACTTGGCAATGAATCATGAGGAGCTCAAAGTTTTGATTTTACAAATCACGACAAAAATGTTTTACTCGAAAAGTATGTTTTCAAAGGTAAACATCGAAACATGTAAATTCATTTTGAATTGAGGGTCGTGTTGAGGTTTTGGAAAGCTTAACATTGTAAAAAGATCGGTGCTCCTTGGTTGTAAGTCAGCGGAAGCGTTTTAAAGGGTTGGATTGCACCATAAGTCAATCAACATAGTGAAAAAGGCCTTGTTTGTGCCAGAGAGCTTGGTAACAGGGGACGTAGATCATTGCGTTGAATTGAGCCTCCATATTATATCGTTTGCACTCTCTAACCCTTTTTCACTTAACATTTTACTTTGTGCAAGCCTATATCGTTTCATTTACGTGCTTACTTGTGTTTAGTTTATTTATCTGTCATTTGTATGTTCATTAGTTTATAATCTTGAGTAATTAACGAAAAAGTTTTAATAACCAATTCACCTCCCTCTTGGTTAGCCTATCTTGGGTTTTCATATCATTTAACTCTTAAAAACTCCACTCACATTTCTCCGACCATACAAACTTAGTAACCTTCCGAGTTGACTGTGTCATAGGACTCGCTATCTTGGAAAATTGTTCTATAAACCATCGATAGTAGTAGACTAAATCTAGAATGCTCCACGCTTCTATTTCTTTAAACCTTTGATTGATCCATCTCAATATTTCCTGCTGCCACACCACTCAGCCCAACTAAAATTCACATTTTCTTGAATTTGGCATACAACTCATCCTCATGTAGTGTTTCCAAAATTATCCTTAGAAGTTATTCGTATTGTTGAGAATCTCTCGAGTATATCAATATGTTATAAAAAAAAGATGATAACCATGTCCATATACAGATGGAACATTTTATTTATCAAGTCCATAAATACTATAAGGGTCTATTCATCAGGCCAAAGGGCATTACTGTAAACTCATAATGCTTATATAGAGTCCTAAATGCCGTCTTTGGTATCAGTTGACTTAATCTTCAACTGATAATATCCTGACCTCAAATCGATTTTTGAAAATGATGCTGTAATGACCCAAATTTTACCATTTGAATCATTAAACGTATCGCAAAATAAAAACTTAACTTTCATAAAATAGACCTTTTGTACCAATTACAATAATTGAAAACGAAGAATTACTGAGTCATAAAAGTAAAATAATAAATTATTCAACAATATCTTTATTATACCACTACTAGTTAGTTCCAAACTCCAACGCCTTGAACCTCAATTACCTAAAGGGGGAATAATCATAAACAATGAGATGAAAGCCCAATAAGCGAGCCTCATAAATTGTATTTCCTATTTAAAATTTAAGAATTCGTAACTTACACAAGGAGAAATGGGGATAGTAATCGAACTTAGGTGACCATAATCTCCGTACATAATTATAACATACATAAGGAGACACAGGAATCAAGAATCATACTTCGTTGCTATAATTCTCGTGCATAGCACTACTGAGCTCTGATTTCTTCAACTTACGCATATTCATAAATCGAATTACGTATTTTAAAGTATGAAAAACAATTCAACATACAACATATTACTACACTTATCTTGATAATTTGGAAAAAAAATCGTAGTAAATACTTAGAGGAGAATTTAACTTCTTCAACAAAACGATAAGTTGTCTATCTGTAGGTGTGTTTTACGTGTGGTATATATAGATACATTTGGGAGTACCAAAAGGACTGTGTCATAATGGCGTCATAAAAATTATACATAATTATACATACATCACGCACATATGGTAATTTACTTATCTCGTATATATGGAAATTATATTAACTTAACTTTCATATATATTTATATATAAACGTACGTAATACGTAATTATAGTAATCACATAATTTAAATTAATCATTCATAATTATATATAATTATATACATATATAGACACGTAATTATAATCACATAATTTAAATCAATCAATTATAATTATATATAATTATCCGAATTCTAAAAAGCTCATCTAGGCGGCACCCAAACTTGAAATTTGGACAAAGCGCCTTGCTTCGCGCCTTAACGCTTTTATTTATTTTTTCAACTCTTAAACGGCTAGATTTTTCCCTGCTCTCTTTCATCTTCCCTAAGCGTTCTTTTTTTTTTTTTTAAAGTCTTTTACTTCACTTTAGTTTCTTATTATTTTTTTATTTTTTAAAAAAGTTTCTAATTGAGCTTAATTTCAAGTTTTTAAAAGACTTTATATGTACAAAAGTTAAAAATGGCTTTATTCGATATAAAGTTAAATAAGATTTAGGTTATGGTGCTATCTATATTATTTAATTATAATTTTGAAACTCGTTATTTTGTTAAAAACATCAAAAATACATGTGAAATTCCTATAAATCTATTAAAGAGAACTTATATAGTTAAAAAATTGAAACTATGAAAAATAATCTAGCTTTTGACTTTTGAAAATTGTATAATTGATTAATTATAGAAATTATTAAGTAAATATATATTTTATAATTTTAGATGTTTAATATGTATTATTTTAATTATTGAATGATTTTTAAAATGATTAAAAATTTGTAATAAATATTAAAAATAAGAAAACGTTTTTTTTTCGCCTAGGTGTCGATTAGGCTTGCTCAAGCTTGAAAAGGTCAAATTTGTGTCCCACGTCCAGCCATACTTTACATTGTCTCTCCAATGAATGGTTCTGCTCCAGTATTTTTCCCTAGCTATTGTTGCTTATACTCGGGTCGATCGGCCATAACCACTTCCAGCAGGAATCGCTACAACCAACGTTCTTTAATTCGGTAATCACCTTTACTTTCTAGTAAAGGGGCTTGAAAGCTTACCTTATTATTAGAGAAAGGTTTGGAACCCTAGTTTTGGAGTTTTCGCCCCAACCTAGGTTAGGGGGTCGTTAGACCGTAGCCGGTGAGTTCTAGAACAGAAGAGGTCATGAGGTCATCTTTCTAAGGTACCGTTGGCTTGGAAGCTGCTAGGTCGATAAGTGGTCAACCAACACTTAGTCACGTGAGGGAGGGCAGAATGACTCTTTTCTTTCATTTGTGAGATAATGTCTCTAATTCACTCTCGGGTCTAACTTTCTTTCTTTCGAGAAGGGCGTAGGCTCCCCACCTTAGTGGCATCAACTGGTATGACCACTTTCCTTTTAGCACTGCAGCCCATAATGAGTCTGGTTCAGAGAGGATTTTATGTCCCATACGTGCCATTATGTATATGAAGAGTTAGAAGTGGCCTTGCATTCCAGCAAACTTGAATTCTTTGGATACTTTCCTTTTAGCACTGCAGCCCATAATGAGTCTGGTTCAGAGAGGATTTTATGTCCCATACGTGCCATTGCCGTCCATATAGACCTCGATCATGAGTCCGCAAGAAGTCTTGCATACTGCCAAAGAGCTGCATGCCGCAAAAGAAAAGACAAATATTTTTAAGAACACTAATAACTATATATATATATAAATTATACTTGTGTCCCTCAATTATTGGCCGATCACTACAACAAAAATAACCATTTGCAACAATAAAAAGGCAACATTTGTCAATAAATGTTGCCAAAAGTGTGTTTTGGTAACATTTTAGTAAGTGAATGTTGCCATTGGTTAATATAAATGAGTTTTGGCAACGTTTTTAAAAAAAATGTTGCAGTAGACACTTTTAGCAACGTTTATTGAGTATTGCGGAAGATTTTACCTTTCGCAACGTTTGTTAAACGTTGCTAAAAGTTACCTTTCGCAATGTTTGACAAACGTTGCGAAAGGTAAGACTTTTCACAACATTTGACAAACGTTACTAAACGTCACATTTGCGAAAAGTCTATTACATTCCAAATTCCAAATTATATATTGAACCCTAATTCTAAACTCATTCACACCTCCCTCATTCCTCTGCCCACGGTCTCTTTCCTTCCACTTCTACTTCTGGATCCGTTTTCCGCCACCGTCCGGCCACCAAACCGCCGGACATGGGTCCCAACGGATTGCCCTTAACATTTTCTACAATTTCCACCCAACATCTCCCAAAATCATCCAGTCATACGGTTGAAATCAACCCAGAAACAGCAACCTGAAAATGCGAAAACTGCCGGAATCGTCTCCGCCTACATCTTCACTCTCCATCTCTAAAAGCTCGAAGTACGATTCAATCTGTATCAACATAAAATAAAATATTAGAATGATGGTGAAATGCTAGTTGCTATACTTATAGCAACTGGGCGTCCAATCAAAAGGGGTACGCGCATAGTTGCTATACTTATAATGCCATGGCATCAATCCTATCAAATGCTCGACAAAATGCCCCATTGAGAGCTCTTGCTCTAAATTTATCGAATTTACAGTTTTTCTGGACACCTGGAGCTTTGGGTTATTTTATAAGGTGTTTAGGAAGTCAAGGCCTGGTTAAAGAGGCTGTTGATCTATTTGATCAAGTGAAGAGCTCAAGAGTTTGTGTTCCAAACAGTTACAGCTATAACTATTTGTTGGAGGCAATTTCGAGGAGTGGAGATGTAGGTTTGATTGAGATTAGGTTTAATGAAATGACGGATCTTGGTTGGCAGATTGATAAGCATACTTTGACACCGTTGTTGCAGTGTTATTGCAACAGTAGGGAGTTTGAAAAGGCCTTGGACGTTTTTGATGAGATGAGGGACAAGGGATGGGTTGATGCACATGTATTGACTACTTTACTGGTGTCTTTTAGCAAGTTGGGGGAGGTGGATAGGGCTTTTGAGTTGATCGCACGGATGGAAAAAGAACTAAATATTAGTTTGAACAAGAAGACATTTTATGTACTGATTCATGGGTTTGTAAAGGAGTCCAGAGTGGATAAGGCCTTGCATCTATTGGATAAAATGAGAAGAACGGTATTCGTTCCAGACATTTCAATCTATGATGTGCTAATTGGATGTTTGTGCAAGAATAAGGAGATTGACAAGGCCTTGATGTTGTGCAACCAAATGAGGGAACTAGGTATGACTCCTGATGTTAAAATAATGTCAATGCTTTTATCATGTTTACAAGATGAGAGAGACGTGATTTGGTTGCTTGAAGAAAAGCAGGCAGATTTGGATTTGGGGAAAAGGATGTTACTTTATAATTCTGTTTTGGCTGGTTTTATTAATAATGGTTTAGTTAATAGAGCTTATCATTTGCTAAAGGCGACGATTGGCAATGGAACAAATGGAGATTTTGAGGCAGAAAATATCCTTTTGGTTAAGGAAAATGTTTGCCCTGATACCACTTCTTTCTAAATAGTCATTGAAGGTCTGTGCAAAAGTGATAAGTTAGACCTGGCCCTTGGCCTATTCTTTGAGATGGATCAAATTGGCAGTAAACGTAGCGTGTTACTTTTTAATAATTTAATCGATTGTTTGAGCATTGCTGATAGGTTGAATGAATGTTTTGATCTTCTGAATAAGATGAAGGAATCAGGATTCCAGCCAACGCATTTCACCTTCAGTTCCTTATTTGGGTGCTTATGTAATACGGCTGAAATCAACCCAGAAACAAGTAATCATGGTCTCCCGTCTCCTGCATTCTTTGCTTGAGTCTTGTAGAATCTATTTTCGCCTTTTTCCATCTTTCATAATGTTACTTATAAATGGTTAAGAAATATACAAAATGCTTTTATATGTTTGTGTGTTGTTGAAGGTTTCTAGAAACATTGATTTGGTCTATGGAGGGGGCTGCATAGGTCTCATGGGTTTGGTTTTGCAGGCTGTTCATGATGGTGGTCGGCATGTTATTGGGTGTTTCCTTGTATTTCAATCCACCCTCTGTGAAGTTGTCCATTACATTGAGTTTGTCTTCAAATTTGCCGGAGTATGTCATTGGTGATGAAAAGCGGCTAATGCAAATTCTTTTAAATGCTGTGGGAATGCTGTAAAGTTCTTTGGGTAGCATTTTCATATCTGCTTTTGTTTGGCCAAAATTTTATTTCATTTTGAAATTCCTTTTTATTTAGGTGGTGATGTATTACATTTTAATGTTCAAGTGTATGGATTCAAAAATTTGTAATGAAATTATCAATTTTTATGCAATTTTAAAATTTGTTCGAAATGAGTATTTTCAATTTTGCTTGCCAATTTACATAAATTGAAAAAAAAAAAAAAAAAAGTGCCATAGACCTACAACNTTGCCGTATCTTTCTACTCTACGGCAACACCTCGATTTGCAACACACGTCCAAACGTTGAAAAAGGTCTACGACAATGTTTTTCGAACGTTGCCGTAGGCTATTTTTGTTGGAGTGGATATGCAATTTGACCCCTAACTTTCATCCTCTTGCACTAATGTCCTAATTTTCATAATTAACGACTATAAAGAATTTAGGGATATTATAATCTACCACTCTTTAAAAAAAATTCGTCCTCGAAAATTACCTTAACTGTCATCGTCAAACAATTGAAAATATCATCAAACAGTTGAAAATATTTGTAAAATAGAATTTCTAAAAACGAGAATTTTCTGAAATAGAAGTTTAATGAGGTTGTAGTTTTTCAAAAATAAACACTTATCCAATTGGATGTTTCCAGAGTAGCTTCCAAGCGAGGAGGGCATAATTGGACCACTTAAATTCAGAGCTCTCCTTGGACAATTTAGGGTCTTTTTGAAAAAGGACTTTTAATTTTGCGAATATCCAAAACAAGAAAACTTGAAAAATAAGCAGGACTAAAAGGATTTAGAGGTATGATTTTACTAATTACACTCTACTATCTAATCTGGAGATTTCCTAAGGTTGACTATTCTCATAGGTTAATATATTCCATAAAGTAGTCAATAGTCAAAAATCACATAATATCATAAAGTCATCATTCTCATAACTTACAATATCCATAATTAGTTTTTTGTGTAATTAACATATATTCATAGAATTATACGTCACTATTATCAGAAAATTCATGATTGCTACAAAGTGGAAATTATACGTAGCTAAGCATATTTCATAATTAAGCATAGTCTTAACATAATTTCATGCTTATTCATACTTATTCACATAACATTAAATAATTGTGAGTTATCATATTTTTCTACTTGATTCGAGAAAATCAAAGCTTGGAACTTGACATCGCGTAGTGGTGGTCTAAAAAAGATTAAATTTGTCTTTTTTCAAAAGAAAATAAAAAAATAAAATATCTTAACGTAATCATATTTCGATATGTAAAATTTTAATGTGAAATGTAACTCACAAATTTTTTCAAGAAAAAGAGTCTACAAAAAAGAAGACCTGCTCTGATACCATATTGTAATGATCCAAAATTTATCAATTGAATCATTAAAACGTATCATAAAATAAAAACTTAACTTTCATAAAATATAACTTTTGTACCAATTACAATAATTGAAAAAGAATTACTTAGTCATAAAACTAAAATAATAAATTATTGAACTATATCTTTATTATAAAACGAGTGGCCAGTTTCAAACTCCAACGTCTCAAACCTCAATTACCTAAAGGAAGAATAATCATAAACAATGAGAAAAAATCCCAAGCCACATAAATCGTATTTCATAATTAAAATTTAGACAATCTTAACTTAAGGAGACACGGAGATCAGAATTCGAATTTAGGTGACCATAATCCCTATACATAATCATAACATACATAATCAGCTATTGGTCGATATGCAATATGATCCTCTAACTTTCGTCTTCTTACATTAAGTCCTAATTTGCATAATTAATGACCATAAAAGATTTAGGGATATTATAGATGCACCCTTCAACTAATCAAACAGATACTCAATCCTAGAAAAGGGGATACTTATTCTTGATCATCAACTTATTTAGTTCTTGATCCTGGGCCGTAGGATGAGGTCGACTAATGGATGCAAGATGCCGTGGAGTGCCTTTAAATATTTCATTTTTTTTTTTTAATTTCCCACATTGTAGAAAAAAAATAAATTTTTTTTAAACAAAATACGTTAAGTCTACAGAATCGACTAAACTCGTGCTCTGATACCACGCTGTAGTGCCCCGACCCGCATGGGTCGAAACGTTACAAGACTAGCTTAACTTTAGTCGTAAACTTAATAATTTACGATACCTTTAGCGGAAAGTATAAAATTTAATTTAAGAATTTAATTCAAGACTTATTTAATTCTGTACAACATCATTTCAATACTAGAACCAAATAAAAAAAATGTTTTAGAATGATTCCCCATGCATGTATCCGTTTATTGACGTGAAGTTCTAAGTAGAAAATAAAAATGAATGTTGTTGTTTTGGCTTTCTATCTCAACAGCAGTAGTCAAAAATAAATTTGTTTGCATAGCTACCGACTCCGAAATTTCATAAAATTTTATAGTAAAGTAGGAAACTCTTTATACTATGACATATCCAAAAATCAACTTCCGTCGGCAACATATGAGGTATAAAAATATTTTTTTCAAAACCTCGCAACAACACAGTTTGGAAGGTAACCCAGCGCGGTTTACTTAAAGTGATATATAAAATTCTACACACATCAAATAAACATGATTTCAACTTTATGCAGTAGCTAACCCATGAGACTAGCAAACTCCATTGGGTTTACCCAAAAATTTCAAGTAACGATCGAGTTCTGAATTTTCAAATCCAAGGGCAGAAGCTGGAAAACAGCAACATTACCCGGCGTAGTTTACTCTAAGTGACATTTAAAATTCTACCAACATCGGATTGACATGATTCCAAATTTATTCAGTAGCTAACTTATGAAGCTATCAAATACCACTCGTTTTGTTGAAAAATTCCAAGTAACGATTAAGTTATGAATTTTTAAAGTCAAGGTAGAATCTGAAATTATAAAGAAATAGCAACATTAAATTGCCAACACTTGGTTTTTTTGTAAACAGTGAATTGTAAGCAAATTTTATGAAACGTACCTACCTTTAAACACAACTTATTCATAAAGAAATGTGATTAGAATAGTCCCAAATATGACATTTCATAGAAATCTATTTAAAATAACGTAAACATTGCATAATCGAATTTAAAACGTTAAATCACCGGCTTCCCCATAGCACGTTGCATCATTCTTTACCATCATCCACGTCCCAAGCAAATCATATCAAATCAACCTATAGAGAGGGAATTAACCCATGAGTTTGAAACTCAATAGATGTCATCGGTGCGTTTCGTTAACAAATTATAAAATTTCGAACTATAGATTCATACCGTCGCACGTAGATGGATTTCCGGCAAAATCCAATTTCTGTGGAGTTATGATTTAACATAACGCATAGAACCGGAGAATGATCATTCAAACTATAGTAGTGTCGTAACACCGTACCCGAAGGCACCAATTCATTCAAACTTTTAACGAAAATCATAATTTGAAAACGAAGCAAACACTTGCACCTCTACCTACCTTTGTTAAAAGCTTTTGAAAGTATAATGTTGGATGATTGTTGTTGCTTCCCGACGGTATCAGAACTTTTAGAAATATGCTCCTCTCCTATTCTTTTGAAAATCTTTTTCCTTGATCAAAGTGTGCACTTTCTCCTTCACACCCTTGCTATTCTTTCAAACTTTACTTAACATAAAGATTTTTTTTTAGAGAAAATAAGTGAAATTTCGGATTTGAGAAAAGGTGTAGTTAAAAAATGTTTTTCCTCTTCTTGTAACCTCCCTTTTTAGTGGAAAACTAAATGGAAGAGTTATATTATCATTAATCTTGTTAAATTGAGTCTTTAACTAGGAATTTGAAGAGTTTTAAGCCCAACAAATAATTTTATAAAATACTTCATAAAAACATCTACATGATGATTCAAACCTGGGTGGCCAATAGGAAATACCATGTAGATGACCATTGTGACAACCCAGTTATTCATTAAATCTTTGAAATCAAATTTACTTAAACTTAATGTCTTAAAGTATTGGGCTTATAAATAACTTATGGCTTGTACTTTCATAACCCTAAATGGGTCGAGATTCCATAATTTATTTCTTAAATGAACTATACTAACCAAATTAAGAATATAAAATTTGGGACATTACATCATTCAACTAATCAAACAGATACTCAATCCTAGAAAAGGGGATACTTATTCTTGATCATCAACTTATTTAGTTCATGATAGTCGATACACAATCTCATAGTACCATCTTTCTTCTTTACAAAGAATAACAGAGCTTCTATGGAGATACGTTTGGTCTGATGAACCCTTTGCTTAAAATTCCTCTATCTGCATATTCAACTCTTGTAATTCCTTTGGTACCATTTGGTACAAAGCTTTGGATATAGAAATAGCTCCAGATAATAGATCTATTGT